CTCCAGATTTCGTAATAAAAGGGAGGGGGTCAGGACCCTCCAAGACAAGCCATTTCAGACCTCCCCCGTGGGAGAACCCTCCAAAACATCGTCCCCAGACCCCCCCAGGCCCTCCAAGATAGCCTGGAAGAGACCCCCCCCGAAATGAGACCCCCCTCCCTTTATTACGAAATCTGGAGTACCAAGGCAGAAGCACAGGCACGCCCCTCCGTGTCCTGTCGTCGCATGCGGCTCGCCCGACTTCTTGGCTCGGCCGCACCGTCCGTCCAGAAAATGGGGCGTCGAAGTCGCGTCGGCCCACCACAGTGGCGCGGCCGAAGATCGGGGTGAACCCAGATGGGGCGTTGTAGAAAGATGGTTCGCGAATGAACCACACGGAGCTGGATTTCCCTGCGTCTCGCGCCTCCCGGTACCGCATGCAGCAGTTTTCGCCCCCGCTCCTTCACCCTTCCCTCAGTCTGCCTGAACTTCCAGAGTCCAGTGCATATTCTTGCAGACCTATGAAGCCATCGAGACTGCTCAAATCTTCGACTAGGTGTTCACTTCAATGGTCCTGGTGCATTTGTTTGGCCCTGGATAGACGAGCGCGCTTCACCACTCGCAAAGTAACAACTCGCGCATTTCCTGGATCCGCCGTGGGGGATCTACGATAAACGTTTACGAGTAGGCACTTTGCGAGTAGTGGAACGCGCTTGTTGACTAGAGGTTCGTCCACCCAGGGAAGACCGCAAAAGGCTGCATGACGCCAGAAGGAGAGGGGGGGCTGTCAGGCACGCGCGGTGCTGGTGCTGGAGCTGCTGCTGGTCGCTGTCCCCCATTCTTCTGTCCCCCGTCGCACGGTGCTTCCTGGAGGCGGTGATCATGCATATGGTTGGGCCCCAGGAGGCCCTATATGTGTATAATAAATACACGCATGCCAGTATATACAAATCATCATACACATGTATGTCTGTATATATAAAGATATACACAGATAGTTGTATGTATGTGTGTGTGCATGCATGCATGCATGCGCTTACGCATGCATGTCTGTATGTATGTCTGCCTGTCTGCCTGTATGTATGTACGTATGCAAACATGTATGTATGCATGTACGTATGCACGTAGGTATGTACGCATGAATGTATGTATGTGTATGTATGTTATGTATGTATGCATGTATGCATGTATGTATGTATGTACGAATGAATATAAACATAGATATGTAGCCACCGCCTCCCGAGGTCCAGGGAGATCGGATCCCGAGGCGGTGAATATGAGAACGTCGCAGCCTCGGATTCGACCCTCACCCCACGTGGCCCTCCTTACGCTGGGGGCTCATGGAGGGCAAACTTGATTTGATGAGGGGCCCTCCCCGAGAGAAACATCACGAACCAAACCTGGATGGCATCGCCGTTTTTGCTCCTCTCCGCTATCATGTGGGCTGCTCCCTTCCAAGGACCCCCCCCGCTCTCTCTCTCTTGTTCTCTCATTTGTTTGTTCTCTCTCTCTCTCTCTCTTTCTCTCCCTAACTCTCTCGCTACTCCCTCTCTCTATGCATATCTATATATCTCAGAGTGAGGGGACCGAACGGTCATTCATTGTCCCTGGGTGCGTGGCTGAAATGGGAGTCCGTGGTGAGGATTCTGCTTGTTGCATTGTTGTTGTTGATGTTGATGTTTATGCTGTTGTTGCTGCTGCTGTTGTTGTTGTTGTTGTTGTTGTTGTTATTGTTGTTGTTATTGTTGTTGTTGTTGTTGTTGTTTGTTGTCGTCGTCCCACCCGCAACCCACCCGCGACCCACCCCGCGACCCATCCCGCGACCCACCCCACGACCCCACCCGCGCTCCCACCCGCGACCCACCCCGCGACCCACCCCGCGACCCACCCGCGACCCACCCGCGAACTTTTTGCGATCCCGACCCAGTCGCGACCCAACAATGACTCACCCGCGACCCACACGCGACCCATTTGCGACCCACCCGTGACCTACCCTCATTGGTTTAACGATAAAAACGGCGCTTCTGGCGGGCTCGTTATTCAATTTGCGAAACTTTGGCGCCTGCGGCGGGCTTCTCCAAAGTCTCGCAGACTGCCGACGTCCCCACCATCCCCTCACTCTTACCCGCATCTGCGGGGTGCTATGTACATGTGTATGTATATGGATATGTCTATGTATATGTATATGCATATGCATATGCATGTGTACGTGTGTATGTGTGTATGTATGTATGTATGTATGTATGTATGTATGTATGTATGTATGTATGTATGCATGTGTGTGTGCGCATGTATGTATGTATGTATGTCTGTCTGTCTGTCTGTCTGTCTGTCTGTCTGTCTGTATGTATGTATATATGTATGTATGTATGTATATATACACATATATGTACATATATTAACATATTTCACACACAACAACACTATATATTATAATATATATATATATAATATAATGAAATATATATAGATAGTCGGAATGCTGCCCTCCGAAGCCCGCCTAACATCGACTCTGGCACCTGCCAGGAGCGCGCTCCGGCCGAGATTCCAGGGTGCATCTGGCCGCGGCGACGAACGCCATCTGGGACGCGCACGCATTCGCCGGCCCCACGGGCCAGAGACGTGCTAAAACCTCCGGTAAGACTTCGAACGTGTTTCTAGTGCGTGCGCGCGTGGCTGCCCTGGGGGTCCCCGGACGAGAAGTACCCCGGCGAGGTCGGGTCAGAGATGCCGAACTCCTGGTCGCAGCCTCGGGGGCTCCCCGAGCGCCCCAAAGAGGCGCCAAAAGAGTGGCACGTCCTACGGCCTCGGGCCAAAAGCGTTCCAAGACGGCCCACCTCGGTTCCAAGACGGCCCATGAAGCGTCCAAGGCGCTCTAGGAGGGTTTCAATAGGACTTCGAGAGGCCACGAAGACGCAACAATGAGTAATTCCGCTAGGGTTTTCGGACGACTTCGGCGGTACTGCCTTTTCGAGCTGCCGACCGGCCTGGACGGCCCAAGAGGCTCCAAGATCGCTCCAAGACAGGCCAAAAAGCCTCCAAGAGGGCCCAATATTGCCCTAAGATGGTCCAAGAGGCCTCCAAGACTGCCCCAGGATGTCCCAAGAGGTGGCCCAGAGGGGGAACCCGAACAGACATTTCGAGCTTTTGGCGCCAAGAGGCCCCCCAAAAGAGGCTCCCAAGACTCCCAACAGGCCCCCAGGAAGCCCCACGAGGCTCCCATCAGGCTCCCAAGAGACCCCAAAGAGACTCCCCAGAGGCCTCAAAACTGCTCCCAGGAGGCTCCCTCCGAAGAGACCCAAGAAGCATCCATGTGGACTTTGACCCACAACTGCCACAACCCAGGTACGTCTCGAAACTCTGCTGGCGCTCTCTTGAGTCATCTTGGCGCCCTCTGGGGCAGTCCAGGGTGCGAGCCACATGTCCAACAATCTCCTCGAAGACCGTTCTGCTTGCCCTATTGTTTCCCCTGGGCATGAGCACACCACCACGCAGCCACAATGATGCGAAATGGGCCGACGTAAGGCTTCCTCCATCCCTTTTAGTTTTCGTCTGGCTGCCAGACGTGTTGGTAGGGGCGGCCTGGCATTTCGCCCGAGACTTCCCCCCGCTTACGATTCCGAAGCTTGAGAGGGATTGTTTTCAGAATGCGGTTCTCGCCTTAACGACGCGGGCATTTGTCTTCAACCTTACCAGCAACTGCGCAGATTGAGAAAAGGGGGCCGTTTACGAACGCCGCGCACATTTCCCCTTTAACAAAACCGGCATTACCACGGATGGATGGATGCTTCTTTTGAAATTGTGGCTATCGCCTCAGCGCCGCGCCTATTAGTGTCAACATACTACAACAGCTACACGGATGGAGGACGGGAGGGCGTTTTTTTCTTTTAAATGTGGCTCGCCCTTAGCGTCGCGCAAGTTAGTCTCAAACTTCCACCAGCTAAACGGACGGATGGGGCCGTTTTTAAACACATGCTTTTCGAGTTTGGGACCGCGTGCATTCCTCTTCAACGCTCCCAGCAGCTATTCCGACGGATGGAAGAGGGGCATCTCCACAGTGTGGATATCATACCACAGCGCCGCGCGCATCAGTCTTTCTGCCTTCCAACCGCCAAAACGGACGGACGGGGAGCTGTTCTCCACATGTGGCCCTCCCCTTGGCGTCGCCCACACCAGTCCGAGCATCTTCCAGCAGATGAGCAGACTGGATGGAGTCGCTTCCAAACTGTGGCTCTCCCTTGAGCGCCGCGCACGTTCGTATTACGCACACCCAGCACACACGTATGAGTGGCGGTCTGTGTGAAGGGGCCCTGGGACACACAAATAAATACACAGAGATAACAGGATTCCCCATATTTTCTGGGTTTGCGTCTTCCCCCACACTTCCCATATTTTCCAATATTTTCTGGGGAATCGACGATTAATTGTGTCTGTGTATTTTTTTCCCTCCTGACTGTGTTCAAACTGTGGCTATGGCCTTTGCGCCGCGCGCGTTCGTCTTCAGCGCCTCCAGCAACTATGCAGATAGAGGGCGGCCCCCGCTCGGGACTGGTGGGTCCTCTCCGAAGCAGTCTGGTCCACACAGGGTTCGCTCACCTGCAGCTGTCGCTTGAGACCTCCTGAGGTTCTACGACACGACGTGCAAGCTTGTGCACATCGTCCCCCCGGGCTGCAGGCAGCTCGGGTCGAGCGAAAGGGGGGGACAGCAAAGGGGGGGTTTGAGAATCAGCTCACGTAGCTGATCTTCCCGGCGCCTCCCGGCGCCGGAGGCGGCTATGTATCGAGGAGTGGGCCCCTCGGTGAGGCCGAAACCAGCTGCATGCAGCACATTTCGTAACCCCCCTTTCCCAATTCCCCCCTTTCGTCCGGCCCGAGCAGCTCCTTCTCAGTGCGGGGCTCTCGTGAGTCGGCTCCTTGCACTTTCTGGCCCTGCCCCGTCGCGGCCCTTCCGGCCGAGTGCGGGGGGCGGCAACTTACGTCTCGTCACGGGGCCCTCGCTCGAATCCCACCAGCCCTTCAGGTCAACTTTTTCTTTTGCGGCGTTTTGACATTGGGCGGAAGGGGGGGGGGGACAAGGGGGGCGTCTGGCTCCGGACCTCTGCTTAGTGCGACTGTTTGCGGCAGTGCGTCCCATACAGGTGCCCAAAAACAGTCAAGATCTACTCCACGGGGGGGGGTGGGGGGGGGGTGCGAGGGCCCGGCGCCGATCGCTAACGCAATGAATAAAAAAGGATCACTAGGGCGTGGCTCTTTTAGGGCGTTTCCTCTTCCAGCCCCTCCTCCGGCTCTCCTCCTCCTCCCTCCTCCCCCTCCCCCTCCTCCTCCTCCTCCTCCTCCTCCATCCTCCGCCTCCTCCTCATCCCCCTCCTCCTCCTCCTCCTCCTCCTCCTCCTCCTCCTCCTCCTCCTCCCCCTCCCCCTCCCCCTGGGTCTGGACGGGGCGCCCCGGGGGCCGTCGGAGCGTCCAAGAGAGCCCCAAGAGAACTCCAGGAGGGACCCGGATAGCCCAAGATTGAAGGGACCCCAGGACACACACAAATAAACACACAAATAAAAATATTGCCTATATTTTCATATATTGTTGGGTTTTTGTCTTCCCCCCCAATTCCTATATTTTTGCAAATTTTCCTGAGACTCGGCGATTAATAGTGTGTGTGTGTGTGTGTGTTTTTTCCCCTCCTGAAAGATGACCTCCAGGATGTCGCAAAATGGCGCGAGGTCGCTCAAGGTGGGCGCAGGATCCTGCAAGATCTTGCAGGATTCGTCGCGCTGACCCGGGTTTGGGCGCATAATCTCGCAGGATTTTGCAAGGCCTGACTGACCCGGGTTTGGATTGACCCTGGCTCCAAGAGGTTCCAAGGCCGCTTCAAGACTGGCCCAGGTGGCCTTGGAGCTTCCCCAGGAGGCCCCCAAGAGACCCTCATCCATCCAATCTCTAATGACAGTCAATGGTTGCAGTCTTCTCAGATTTTCGCTTCTGACAGGCGGCCCCAGCATCGAATCGATCAGCCGGATCGGGTCGACCGGAGCATCGAATCGGCAGAAATCGGCAAAAGCCAGCAGCCAAATCGAAATCGGCTGAAGTCGGCAGGTCCGAGCTGGATCGAGTCGGAAACTGGACCGCGTCAAGCCGGATCGGAATCGAAATCGGACCCCCCCCCTGGGGGGGGGGTTTGGGTTTTTGGACCCCCCCCTGGGGTGGGGTTTGGGTTTTTGGACCCCTCCCCTGGGGGGGGTTTGGGGTCCCGGGGCTTTTGGACCCCCCCCCCTGGGGGGGGGTTGGGGTCCCGGGGCTTTTGGACCCCCCCCCCCGGGGGGGTTTGGGGTCCAGGGGCTTTTGGACCTCCCCCCCCTGGGGGGGGTTTGGGTTCCCGGGGCTTGTGGACCCCCCCCCCTGGGGGGGATTTGGGGTCGGAATCGGAATGACCCCTGTTCTGATGGCCTTCCAAAGCGTCAAGAGACGGCCCAATAGGGCCCCCAAGAGGGGCCCGAGACGAGCCCAAGAGCGCACCACGAGGGCACCAAGAGGCGACTTGTGAGATTCCAGAGTGGGGACTGTAATTAGGAACCCCTCCTTCTTTGATCGATGTCTTCGAAGATGGCCCCAAGACGGGCCCCCAAGGCCCCCAAGAGAGACCCTAAGGGGTCCCCAAGGGGCCCCCGAGACGCCTTAAGAGGTCCCCAAGAGCCTCCCAGAGGCCCCCCAAGAGACATCCCAAGCGATTCCGAGCGGCATCCCAGAGGCCCCATGGTTCAATAAGGCTCGTCGATGCATCCAAGCCATACCACGCTCCTCCGAGAAGGCCATCTCCCCAAGTCGTCGTGCCCGCATGGGCTGGTGGGGACACGTGAAGCGTCAAGACGGGGGCGCTCGGCTGTCCAAGGGGCACATCTCGCAAGGAAAACGAATCCCTGCAGGGGGCCCTCCTCCTCCTCCTCCTCCTCCTCCTCCTCCTCCTCCGCCTCCTCCTCCTCCTCCCTCCCCCTCCTACCACCTCCTCCTCCTCCTCCTCCTCTTCACTCCTTCATCCTCTCATCCTCTCACTCCGCCTCATTCTCCTCCTCCTCCTCCTCCTCCTCCTCCTCCTCCTCCACCTCCTCCTCCTCCTCCCTCCCTCCTCCGCCTCCCCTCCACCTCCTCCTCCGCCTCCTCCTCCTCCCCCTCCTCCACCTCCTCTCCTCCCTCCTCCTCCTCCTCCTCCTCCTCCTCCTCCTCCTCCTTCCTCCTCCTCCGCACTCCTCCTCCCCTACCTCCTCCTCCTCCTCCGCCTCATTCCCTCCTCCCTCCTCCGCCTCCTCCTCCCTCCTTCTCCTCCTCCTTCTTCTCCTTCCTCCTCCTCCTCCTCTCCTCCTCCTCCTCCTCCTCCTCCTCCTCCTCCCCCTCCTCCACCTCCTCCTCCTCTTCCTCCTCTTGTGAGGGAGCGAGTTTGGACGAGTGGGCGTACAGTCAACCCGTATCAGAAGGATGCACGATGAGGATGCAAGGGCACTGGAAGGTCTCTCCGAAGCTTTTCGAGCGGGGCGCGGTCGGCGAAAGTGGCCAAGGATGGACCGAGGAGGCAAGGATGCAAGGGTACCCTTGGAAAAAGTGCCCATCCTTACTGTGCGGGTTAACTGTACGACAACATCGCTGACGCATCTTGGGTTTACTCTGGCCCCACTCCTCCTCCGTCTTGGCACGAAGAAGAATCTCAGATCCTGGTGGTCCGAGTAGATGGGGTCGGAGGATCGCGCCGGATCGTCGATGCATCGGCGACGTATCTCCGACGTCGGCGACACATCGGCGACGTCGGCGTGGAAAAAATCGGGCTCCGCATTGAGCCGCATCGTCGATGTATCGGCGATGCGGCGCGCTCCTCCGAACCCATCTACCCCGACCCCATCCAGGAGACCTAGAGACACAAGTCACATTCCACAAAAACCCTTGTCTTTATTCTCTGAATCGTCTTATGACGGTCCTGAAGGTCCTCGAATCACCGCCCTGGCAACCGTAAAAATATGGACCCCCCCGAGACCCCCACCCCTTCTCAAACATCCTTCTTTAGACGCCCGAATTGTTACCTGGGATACCTCCGGTCCGGGGTAACTCCAGTTCTGGGCCCCTGAGGCACGAACCAAGAACCACCCCTGACCACCCCCAACCCCGATGATTCGGTAATGGTTGGGCCGAATGATCTGGGATAACTCCGGTCTGGGATATCTCCGGTTTGGGCCCCCGAGGCACGAGTCAAGAGCTAACCCTGACCACCCCCATCCCCGATGATTCGGGGCTCCGGTTTCTCTTCGACCTAATATGTACCCGTGTATCGGAAGAAGTGGGTAGAGGCATGAGGTGGGGAGGCGTGGGAAATAGATTGGGTTTCCACACGCCCCTGAGGAGGGCAAAAGGAAAACCAATGGAGTCTTGAAGCAGGAAGGCAGCTAAAGTAGATCGGGATTTGGGAATCCAGACATGCATACTTTCAACGACCGACGGGTACAGTCAACCCGTATCATGAGGATGCGCGGTAAGAGCGCAAGGGCCTTAGAGGGCCATGCTGGCGGTTTTCAAACGAGACTGGTAAGCGACCGTCGCAAGGATGGGCCGAGGGGGGGGGGCATAGGAAGAGGAAGAGGAGGAGGAGGAGGAGAAGGAGGAGAAAGGAGGAGGAGAGAGGAGGCGGAGGGGAGGAGGAGGAGGGAGGAGGAGGAGGAGGAGGAGGAAGGAGGAGGCGGAGGAAAGGAGAGGAGGAGGAGGAGGGAGGGGAAGGGGAGGAGGGGCTCTGGAGGGAGGAGAGGGGGGGAGACTGGGAGGGAGGAAAGGTACGGCGAGGGCGGAGGTTAGGCGGAGGGAGGAGACGGGAGGGGGGTGCGGGGGGGGCGCGGAGCGGGGTCCGGCTGGCGGGGACGGAGGCGGCTGGCTGGGGCGGATTGGGTGGCCGCGGCTGGGGGCAGCCGGCTGCGTTGAGCGGCGGCATGTAGCGCCCTAGCCCATCCTTGCCATGCGGGTTGACTGGCTGTGTGCTCGCCGCAGGCCTGCCCTCGGGCGCGCGGCGCCGCGGGGGGCCTGTCGAGGGCCGGCCCACCACACGGACAGGAACCCGGACTGCCCCGTCGCAGACAGCGGGGTGGCCGCCGTGACGCTGTCCGCGGGGATGGACGCGTACTTCGGGGCGGCGCTCACCGCTCCTCCTCGTCCTCCTCCTGCTCCTCCTCCTGCTCCGCCTCCTCCTCCGCCTCCTCCTCCGCCTCCATCCCTCGCCTCCTCCGCCGCCTCCTCTTCTCCTTCTTCTTCCCCCTCCTCCCCCTCCCTCCTCCTCCTCCTCCTCGCCCTCCTCCTCCTCCCTCGGGCTCCGTCTCCTCCTCCCTCCTCCTCCTACTTCTCCTCCTCCTCCTCTTCCCCCTCCTCACTCCTCCTCCGCTCCTCCTCCTCCACCTCCGCCTCCTCCTCCTCGTCCTTCCTCCGCCCTCCACTATGATCCCTCCTCCGCCCTCCTCCTCCTCCTCCTCTGCCTCCTCCTCCTCCTCCTCCGCCTCCTCCTCCTCCCCTCCCCGCCCTCCTCCTCTTTCTCCTCCTCCTCCT